TTGAGCTCCACCACCTTATCAATAGCCAGATGAAAACCCTGGAGGACCTAGGCTACTCAGTTTCAAACAGCGCCAGCCACCCCCAACATCTACTTCCACCTGCTAGAGCCAGCACACACACCCGTGCCACCTTTCTCTTTGTCACCACTGCCACATGGAACTCCCTCCCGGCTGCCATTCAGACTGTATCCAGCCCAAAATGTTTTTTATTACTACCACCCCGCATCATTCTAATTCCTATTTTTATTTTTCTCCTCAGCTTCTTCTTCATAAGCTTTTGACGGAGACTTCCTCGATTTAGGCTAAGGCCCGTGGAGAATCCATAAATGCAAATACCGGTACAAATACAAATCAGCTCTGGCACGTCTTGGGTGCGCACTCCAACAGCCTTCCAACTTGGAAGGTTCTAAGATATAATTATGAAAACATAGGAATGGTCTTGCCAGTATCGTCATCGACATGCATGAACATCCACCAACGTCCTTCACAGCAGAGACTTTCAGCTTGTGCTTGTCTTGGTTACGTTCACCTTCCCCCATCCTTTGTTTTCATATAACTTAGAACCTTCCAAGTTGGAAGGCTGTTGGAGTGCGCACCCAAGACGTGCTAGAGCTGATGCCGGCCAGTTACTAAGTAGTTGTAGAACGTCAGTACTGTCGGTCAGTGTTGTGCAATCTTATCATATGAGTTGGTTGTCAAGTAACTGGTGGTGTTAGTGGACATTATAGCATAACTTGCAATTCCTTGGTCCTTTTCTTTACTACAAATAGCACCTTGTGATCAGAATAATAATACAGTCACATAGAAGTATAATGTGGCATGACAATATAATAATTATATTGTAATGTCACTTTATACTTCTATGTGTATTATCTACACCTAGCATTACTATACTGTTACTGTAGACCACTATTATGTTAGTGAGATGGGTGTAATTCACATAGTGTTCACTTTCTCACGGCATATTTTCATTTTTCCATTTTTTACCATGTAGGGAATTGAAGAAACCATGTGGAAGCAATTGCAGGTAAACGTGCGTTTTCGCGACTTTGCAGGCCACGACCATTATTCTGCGTCACACGACTTATTTGCTGTTGCCATGACAGCACCATCTGTTGCCACGATTGTGGTGGATGGCACAGAGTCGGTTGAAGAGATCACAAAACGTGTCAGTGCAACTGCTGCTAGTTATGCGTGTAGACAATCAACATCTGATGATGGTGAGTGGATAACAATGTACTACAGTCGTGTCCAAAGAAATCCCATCTGCAAGTCAAAAGTAGCCACATCGTTCCGTTTCAATCACATAATGTATTTAACTTGGATACTGAGCCAATAAATATAATTAAAATAGAAGAAATCACATGGAAACGAGTTCTGAAGCAACTATCCACGACTGTTACAAGATAATAAGCAGTAGGAGGTGCGATGACTGCATATTATCTTGTTACAGTAGAGGATAGTGGCTTCATAACTCGTTTCCATGTGATTTCTTCTATTTTTATTACATAATGTATTGTCCAGCCCTCTATGTCAGATATAATAGCCAATCTTTGAGCAAGCATCATGCACAACATTGATCGGGTAGGTGGCGGTGAGAAGGAGAGTTCTGTGCCAGAATGTAGAGTGTGTTTTTGGAATTTGTTTTTACCTCTTTTCTGTGCTAAGTGTTTACCTGGTTAGCGGCCGTCGTCAGTTCCCGTCGGGAACGGACACAGTAATTTTTTTCTTTACTGTTTTTGTGTCAAGCGTGCCTTTACCATCGTATCATTCAGCCAGTAATGTGGCTGCCGTCGCGTTTCCACATTTACTCTACTGGACTAGTCACATTGTGATGAAAATAGTTTTGTTTGATCATCTCTAAAGGGAAAAAAGAAATTGAGTCCATTTTGTGATTTCATACGCAGGTTCTGAACTGGACCGCCAACAGCAGCAACCATTGCCAATACAGCTGCAGTCGCAATCACACACACAACAGGCAGGTGGGCACCAGCAGAAACTAGACGTTGTGGCTATTGCTACACGTGCAGATCTGCTTACTCCTTTCCAACGCAACCGAGTAGAAAGGGCCGTTGTGGAAGGGATGAAATCATGTTCACAGCGTTTGGAGCTTGCCTTTGTGAGAGTAGTTGATGCCAGAAATTCCAGCAGTTCCAGTATGAACGAGCTGAGGAGAGCATTCCTACACTTGGTGCACAAATTACTGGCGGTAAGAGCTATGGACACAGTCGCAGCTACAGAGTCATCCTCATCCGAAACATGCCAAGCGGCCGTACCAGGAAGCACAGGTATGTGAAGAATCATTTCTAGCACTGTTATTACCACCAGCAAACACTTCCACTGGGCTTTACACTTTTACAATTCATCTGTTCCAACGGTTGATTGACTGCCGCAACCCCCAACTTTTGAAATGCTGAAAGCTAGAACCATTTCTAGCATGTGAGTACCACACTCAAACCCTTCACCTGGCCGTTACACTTTTATGATCCATCTTGACCTTCATCAACACTTTGTCAAGTTTTCCGCTTTTCCTCGCGATATTCGCTTTGCTCCAGCTGTTGATTTAATGTTTAAAATGAGTTCCATCTCTTTAATTGTCATCTGCAACACCAACTTGTGAAATGCTAAAAGCTAGACGAGTGCAATCTCCATGTTCTAGTTTGGGACCATCTACAAACTGTCAGTTACTGATTGCACTACAAAGATAACAAGCACTGCAAGGAGAGAACATGCTGCTTGTTGTTGTGTTTATTCTAATTCGCAAACAAAAGAGGCAGATCTATTGATAAGTTGGCGAATGCAGACAGCATGTTACAGACGGTGGTCTGAAAGTTGCATCTGAACACTATGGCATGAAGCGCTATACTGACGTAGCTTCAAAATAACTACATGGTCAGCTTCTATGCAAAGGTAATAACAACCTCATTGAAGAATAGAGTTTACAACCATTGGGCATTCAAAATCTTTCATATCTAACAGATTTTTCACTTTATCTCTTCCTGTTTGTGCCAAAGCTGAGGCAGCAGCAGCCACAGCAACACCTAAGGTCTCTGTGGCACATACAGTGTCGTCCACAGTAGCCGCTACGGCAGATACTGTGGCACATGAAGCAGCCGCTACGACCACACTCGCAGATAACGTGGCGCACACAGTAGCCGCTACAGCAGAAGTCACAGCAGTCGCTACAGGAACAGTCGCAGACACAATGATGCAAACCGCAACAGCCATGGACACAGTCACAACTATAGAGTCGTCCACATCAGAAACATGCCAAGCGGTCGTAATAGGAAGCGCAGGTATGTGAAGAATCATTTCTAGCTTTATGATTACCACCAGCAAACACTTCAACTGGGCTTTACCCTTTTACAATCCATCTGTTCCAACGGTTGATTGACTGCCGCAACACCAACTTGTGAAATGCTGAAAGCTCGACAAGTGAAATCTCAATGTTCTGGTTTGGGACCATCTACAAACTGTCAGTTACTGTTTGGATTACAAAGATTTCAAGCACTACAAGGAAAGGACATGTTAGAGACCGTGGTCTGAAAGTTTCATTCACACACTATATCAAGAAACACTATCCTGACATGTTCTTCAAAATAACTGCATGACCAGCTAATATGCAAAGGGGTTAACAAGCTCATTTAGGAATAGAGATTACAGCCACAGGGCTAGTCTTTTGGGCACAACCAAGTCCTGAACCGTTCCCTGCCATTCTCTAACCTGTAATTTTAACATTATTACTACATAATGTCACAATCTTTCATACCTATCTGATTCTGTTCTTTACTTTATCTCTTCCTGTTAATGCCAAAGCTGAGGCAGCAGCAGCCACAGCAACACCTACAGTCTCTGTGGCAGATACAGTGTTGTCCACAGTAGCCGCTATGGCAGAAGTCACAGCCGCCACTACAGGAACAGTCACAGACACAGTGATGGAAATGGCAACAGCCATGGGCACAGTCGCAGCTAGAGAGTCATCCACGTCAGAAACATACCAAGCGGCCGTAACAGGAATCACAGGTATGTGAAGAACCATTTTAAGCATGTGATTACCACACCCAAACCCTTCACCATCCATCTTGACCTTCATCCTCACTTTGTCGAGTTTTCCGCTTTTCCTCTCGATAATCGCTTTGCTCCAGCAGTTGACCGTATCTTTAAAATTTGTTCCATCTTTTAAAAAATAAAAATATATTCTTTTTAATTGTCACCTGCAACACCAAGTTGTGAAATGGTAAAAGCTAGACGAGTGCAATCGCCATGTTTTGGTTTGGGGCCGTGTACAAACTGTAACTAACTGATTGGACTACAAAGATTAAAAACAGAAAGGACATGTTGTTGCTTGTTGTTGTGTTTATTTTTTACTTCACAAACCAAAGAGACAGATTTAATGAAAAGGTGGCGAATGCAGACAGCATGTTACAGACGGTGGTCTGAAAGTCGCATCTGCACACTATGGCATGAAACGCTCTTCTGACGTAGCTTCAAAATAACTACATGGCTTCTAGGCCAAGGTAATAACAACCTCATTGAAGAATAGAATTTACAACCATTGGGCAATCCAATAATAAAGCCTGCAACCATTGGGCTAAACGTTTGGGCACAACCGAATCTTGAAATGCTCCCTGCAATGCTCTAACCTGTAAAGTTAACATTATATGTACATGTGTCAAAATCTTTCATATCTAACATATTCTTCACTTTATCTCTTCCTGTTATTGCCAAAGCTGAGGCAGCAGCAGCCACAGCAACACCTTCAGTCTCTGTGGCAGATACAGTGTCGTCCACATTAGCCGCTATGGCAGAAGTCACAGCAGCCACTTCAGGAACAGTCGCAGACACACTGATGCAAATGGCAACGGCCATGGGCACAGTCGCAACTAGAGAGTCATCCTCATCAGAAACATGCCAAGCGGCCGTAACAGGAATCACAAGTATGTGAAGAACCATTTCTAGCATTTTGATTACCACCAGCAAACATTTCAACTGGGCTTTACCCCTTTACAATCCATCGGTTTCAACGGATGATTGACTGCCCCAACATGAACTGATGAAATGCTGAAAGCTAGAGGAGTGCAATCTTGATGTTCTGGTTCAGGGCCATCTACAAACTGACAGTTACGAATTGAAATACCAAGATTACAAACACTATAAGGAATGGACATGTTAGAGACGGTGGTCTGAAAGTTTCATATGCACACTGCGGCATGAAACGCTATCCAGACATGTTCTTCAAAATAACTGCATGGTCAGCTTCACTGCAGAGGAAATATCAACCTCATTGAAGAATAGAGTCTACAACCATTGGGTTTACCTTTTGGGCACAACCAACCTTTGAAAAGTTCACTGCCATTTTTAAACCTGTAGTTTTAACATTATAACTACATATGTCACATATTTCATACCTATCAAATTATAATAAGCTATGAATAGGATGAAGGCCGCAGCCATCACGCAACTACGTTACTTGTTTGACATGACATGTCAAACAAGTAACGTAGTTGCGTGATGGCTGCGGTATTACTGTGTATTTTATAACAAAAATATTATTGAAAACCCAGAATCGATTTTCTCGTTCCTATCATCAGTGGGAAAAACGGAACTAAGGGTACAACCAAAGAAACTGAAGTTAAGTACTGTGGATAGAAAGGTGTTAGAAATAACATCAAGATACAAGTGCAATAAAACCACTAGAGGAAAAGCAAAAAATAATTATGTTCTTCATTTTCATCTCTTCCTGTTTATGCCAAAGCTGAGGCAGCAGCAGCCAAAGCAACACCTACTGTCTATGTGGCAGATACAATGGCGGCCACAGTAGCCGCTACGGCAGAAGTCACGGAAGCCGCTAGAGGAACAGTTGCAGACACAATGATGCAAACAGCAACAGCCATGGTCACACGCACAGCTAGAGAGTCATCCACATCAGAAACATGCCAAGCGGCCGTAACAGGAAGCACAGGTATTTGAAGAACCATTTCTGGCATTATGATTACCACACCCTAACCATTCACCTATGATTTACCCTTTTAACTTCCATCTCAATCTTCATCCTCACTTTGTCGAGTTGTCCGCTTTTGCTCTCGACAATATCTTTAAAGGCTTTAGCAGTTGATTTAATTTTTAAATAAGTTCCATCTATTGAATTGACACCTTTAAAACACCAACTTGTGAAATGCTAAAAGCTAGACGAGTGCAATCTCAATGTTTTGGTTTGGGGCCATCTACAAACTGTCAGTTACTGATTGGACTACAAAAATTACAAGCGCTACAAGGAAAGGACATGTTAGAGACCGTGGTCTGAAAGTTGCATGCGCACACTTTGGCATGAAACACTATCCTGACATGTTCTTCAAAATATCTGCATGGTCAGCTTCAATGCAAAGGGAATAACATCCTCATTAAAAATAGAGTCCACAACCATTGGGTAAACCTTTTGGCACAACCAAGCCTTGAACTGTTCCCTGCCATTCTCCAACCTGTAGTTTTAAAATGACATCAAAACCTGGTTTAAGCAACCACCCCACGGTGCGAGCAAAAGCGGTCGTTATAGACAGATGGTCTTTAGAACCAGGTCCCACAGTGTCTGTGTAGAACTGACGGTGCATGGAAAAACAGTCGTTAGGAGAAGGTGGTCGCTAAACCCAGAGGTCGCTTACACCAGGTTTTACTGTAGAACTACATATAATTATCACAATCTTTCATACCTATCAGATTCTGTTCTTCATTTTATCTCTTCCTGTTTATGCCGAAGCTGAGGCAGCAGCAGCCACAGCAGCACCTATGGCCTCTTTGGCAGATACATTGTCGCACACAGTAGCCGCTACAGCAGAAGTCACAGCAGCTGCTACGGCAACAGTCACCAACACAAAGATGCAAACGGCAACAGCCATGGACACAGTCGCAGCTAGAGATTCTTCCACATCGGAAACATGCCAAGCGGCCGTAACAGAATGCACAGGTATGTGAAGAATACTATCTAGCATTATGATTACCACCAGCGAACACTTCCATTGGGCTTTACCCATTTCCAATCCTTCTCGACCTTCGTCCTCACTTTGTCAAGTTTTCTGCTCTTCCTCTGGACAATCGCTTTACTCCAGCTGTTGACCTTATCTTGAAAGTTAGTTCCATCCTATTTATTGTCGTCTGCAACACCAACTTGTGAAATGCTGAAAGCTAGAGGAGTGCAATCTCTATGTTCTAGTTTAGGGCTATCTACAAACTGTCACTTACTGATTGCACTACAAAGATTGGAAGCACTGCACGGAAAAGACAAGTTAGAGATGGTGATCTGAAAGTTGCATATGCACACGATGGCATGCAATGCTATCCTGACATAGCTTCAAAATAACTGCTTGGTCAGCTTCACTGCAAAGGGAATAACAATCTCATTCAAGAATAGAGTCTACAACCATTGGGTTAATCTTTTTTGCAGAACCAAACCCGAAACTTTACCCTGCCATTCTCTAACCTGTAGAACTGTCGGTGCATGGAATAACAGTCACTAGGAGAAGGTGGTGGCTAAACCCAGAGGTCGCTTACACCAGGTTTTACTATATTACTACATATATCACAATCTTTCATACCTATCAGATTCTGTTCTTCACTTTATCTCTTCCTGTTAATGCCAAAGCGGTGGCAGCAGCAGTCACAGCAGCACCTCTCGTCACTGTGGCAGATGCAGTGACGCCCACAGTAGCCGCTACGGCAGAAGTCACAGCAGCCGCTACAGCAACAGTCACAGACACAATGATGCAAATGGAAACCGCCATGGGCACAGTCGCAGCTAGAGAGTCAACCACATCCGAAACATGCCAAGCGGCCGTAACAGGAAGCACAGGTATGTGGAGAACCATTTCCAGTATGTGATAACCACACCAAAACCCTCCACCTGGGATTTGGCCATTTACAATCCATCTCGACCTTCATCCTCACTTAGTCGAGTTTTCGGCTTTTCCTATCGACAATCTCTTTATTCCAGCAGTTGCCGTAATCTTTAAAATTGGTTCTATCTTTTTTATTGTCAAACTGCAACACCAACTTGCGAAATTCTGAAAGCTACAGGAGTGCAATCTCCATGTTCTATTTCAGGGCCATCTACAAACTGTCAGTTACTGATTGGGCTTTAAAGATTACAAGCACTACAAGGAAAGGAAACGTTTGAGACGGTGGTCTGAAAGTTTCATACGCACACTATGGCATGAAACGCTATCCTGACATGTTCTTCAAAATAACTGCATGGTCAGCGTCAATGCAAAGGGAATGACAACCTCATTCAAGAATAGAGTCTACAACCGTTGGGCTAACCTTTTGGGCACATCCAAGCCCTGAATTGCTCCCTGCCATTCTTTAACCTGAAATTCTAACATTATAACTACATATGTCACAAGTTTTCTTACCTATCATAATCTCTTCTTCACTTTATCTCTTCCTGTTTATGCCAAAGCTGAGGCAGCAGCAGCTACAGCAGCACCTGCCGTCCCTGTGGCAGACACCGTGACGCCCACAGTAGCCGCTACGGCAGAAGTTACAGCAGCAGTTGCAGACACAATGATGCAAACGGCAACGGCCATGGACACAGTCACAGCTAGAGATTCTTCCACGTCAGAAACATGCCAAGCGGCCGTGACAGAAAGCACAGGTATGTGAAGAACCATTTCTAGCATTATGATTACCACCAGCAAACACTTCCACTGGGCTTTACCCTTTTACAATCCGTTACTTCCAATGGTTGAGTGACAGCCGCAACACCAACTTGTGAAATGCTAAAAGCTAGACGAGTGAAATCTCCATTTTCTGGTTTGGGACCATCTACAAACTGTCAGTTACTGCTTGCCCTACAAAGATTACAAGCACTACAAGTAAAGGACATGTTAGAGACCGTGGTCTGAAGTTTCATTCACACACTATGGCAAGAAACGCTATCCTGACATGTTCTTAAAAATAACTGCATGGTCTACGTAAATCCAAATGGAATAACAACCTCATTCAAGAATAGAGTGTACAACCGTTGGGTTAACCTTTTGGGCACAACCAAGCCCTGAATTGCTCCCTGCCATTCTCTAACCTGTAATTTTAACATTATAACTACATATGCCACAATCTTCCATACCTATCTGATTCTGTTCTTTCTTTATCTCTTCCTGTTAATGCCAAAGCTAAGGCAGCAGCAGCCACAGCAACACCTGCAGTCTCTATGGCAGATACAGTGACGTCCACAGTAGCCGCTAAGGCAGATACAGTGAAGCCCACAGTACCCGCTATGGAAGAAGTCACAGCAGCCGCTACAGGAACAGTCGCAGACACAATGATGCAAATGGCAACAGACATGGGCACAGTCACAGCTAGAGAGTCATCCACATCAGAAACATGCCAAGCGGCCGTAACAGGAAACACAGGTATGTGAAGAATCATTTCTAGCATGTGACTATCACACCCAAACCCTTCACCTTGGCTTTACCCTTTCAACGTCCATCTCAACCTTCATCCCCACTTTGTCGAGTTTTCCGTTTTTCCTCTCAACAATAGCTTTGCTTGAGCAGTTGATTTGATTTACCCTTTAATGAGTTCCATCTTTTTAATTGTCACCTGCAACACCAACTTTTAATTTATGCTGAAAGCTGGAAGAGTACAATCTTCATGTTCTAGTTCAGGGCCATCTACAAACTGTCAGTCACTGATTGAATAACAAAGATTACAAACACTACAAGGAATGGACATGTTATAGACGGTGGTCTGAACGTTTCATTCTCACACTATGGCATGAAACGCTATCCTGACATGCTCTTCAAAATAACTGCATGATCAGCTTCAAGGCAAAGGGAATAACAACCTCATTGAAGAATAGAGTGTACAGCTATTGGGCTAATCTTTTGGGCGCATCCAAGCCCTGAATTGCTCCTTGTCATTCTTTAACCTGAAATACTAACATTATTGCTACATGATGTCACAATCTTTCATGCCTATCTGATTCTCTTCTACACTCTATCACTTCTTGCTTTTGCCAAAGCTGAGGCAGCAGCAGCCACAGCAACACCTACGGTCTCTGTTGCAGATACAGCGATGCCCACAGTAGCCACTATGGCAGAAGTCAGAGCAGTCGCTACAGGAACAGTCGCAGACACAATGATGCAAATAGCAACAGCCATGGACACAGTCGCAACTAAAGAGTCATCCACATCAGAAACATGCCAAGCGGCCGTAACAGGAAGCACAGGTATGTGAAGAATCATTTCTAGCATTATGATTACCACCAGCAAACACTTCCACTGGGCTTTACCCTTTTACAATTCATCGGTTCCAACGGTTGATTGACTGCCGCAACACCAACTTGTGAAATGCTGAAAGCTAGACGAGTGAAATCTCCATGTTCTGATTTGGGACCATCTACAAACTGTCAGTTACTAATTGCACTACAAAGATTTCAAGCACTACAAGGAAAGGACATGTTAGAGACAGTGGTCTGAAAGCTTCAATCACACACTATGGCAAGAAACGCTATCCTGACATGTTCTTCAAAATAGCTGCATGGCCAGCTAATATGCAAAGGGGTTAACAAGCTCATTTAAGAATAGAATTTACAGCCCTAGGGCTAACCTTTTGGGCACAACCAAGCCCTGAATTGCTCCCTGCCATTCTCTAACCTGTAATTTTAATATTATTACTACATAATGTCACAATCTTTCATACCTATCTGATTCTGTGCTTTCTTTATCTCTTCCTGTTGATGCCAAAGCTGAAGCAGTAGCAGCCACAGCCACACCTGCAGTCTCTATGGCAGATACAGTGACGTCCACAGTAGCCACTATGGCAGAAGTCACAGAAGCCGCTAGAGGAACAGTTGCAGACACAATGATGCAAATGGCAACGGCCATGGGCACAGTCGCAACTAGAGTGTCATCCTCATCAGAAACATGCCAAGCGGCCGTAACAGAAAGCACAGGTATGTGAAGAACCATTCCTAGCATTATGATTACCACCAGCAAACACTTCAACTGGGCTTTACCCTTTTACAATCCATTGGTTCCAACGGATGATTGACAGCCGCAACATGAACTTACGAAATGCAGAAAGCTAGAGGAGTGCAATCTTCATGTTCTGGTTCAGGGCCATCTACAAACTGACAGTTACGAATTGAAATACCAAGATTACAAACACTATAAGGAATGGACATGTTAGAGACGGTGGTCTGAAAGTTTCATATGCACACTGCGGCATGAAACGCTATCCTGACATGTTCTTCAAAATAACTGCATGGTCAGCTTCACTGCAAAGGAAATATAAACCTCATTGAAGAATAGAGTCTACAACCATTGGGTTTACCTTTTGGGCACAACCAAGCTTTGAAAAGTTCACTGCCATTTTTAAACCTGTAGTTTTAACATTATAACTACAATGTCATATGTCACATATTTCATACCTATCAAATTATATTATAGCTATGAATAGGATGAAGGCCGCAGCCATCACGCAACTACGTTTCTTGTTTGACATGTATTACTGTGTATTTTATAACAAAAATATTATTGAAAACCCAGAATCGATTTTCTCGTTCCTATCATCAGTGGGAAAAACGGAACTAAGGGTACAACCACAGAAACTGAAGTTAAGTACTGTAAATAGAAAGGTGTTAGAAATAACATCAAGATACAAGTGCAATAAAACCACTAGAGGAAAAGCAAAAAATAATTATGTTCTTTATTTTCATCTCTTCCTGTTTATGCCAAAGCTGAAGCAGCAGCAGCCAAAGCAACATCTACTGTCTATGTGGCAGATACAATGGCGGCCACAGTTGCCGCTGCGGCAGAAGTCACGGAAGTCGCTAGAGGAACAGTTGCAGACACAATGATGCAAACAGCAACAGCCATGGTCACACGCGCAGCTAGAGAGTTATCCACATCAGAAACATGCCAAGCGGCCGTAACAGGAAGCACAGGTATGTGAAGAACCATTTCTAGCATTATGATTACCACACCCTAACCATTCACCTGGGATTTACCCTTTTAACTTCCATCTCAATCTTCATCCTCACTTTGTCGAGTTGTCCGCTTTTGCTCTCGACAATATCTTTGCTTTAGCAGTTGATTTAATTTTTTAAATAAGTTCCATCTATTGAATTGACACCCTTAACACCAACTTGTGAAATGCTAAAAGCTAGACGAGTGCAATCTCAATGTTCTGGTTTGGGGCCATCTACAAACTGCCAGTTACTGATTGGACTACAAAAATTACAAGCGCTACAAGGAAAGGACATGTTAGAGACCGTGGTCTGAAAGTTGCATACGCACACTTTGGCATGAAACGCTATCCTGACATGTTCTTCAAAATATCTGCATGGTCAGCTTCAATGCAAAGGGAATAACATCCTCATTAAAAATAGAGTCCACAACCATTGGGTAAACCTTTTGGCACAACCAAGCCTTGAACTGTTCCCTGCCATTCTCCAACCTGTAGTTTTAAAATGACATTAAAACCTGGTTTAAGCAACCACCCCACGGTGCGAGCAAAAGCGGTCGTTATAGACAGATGGTCTTTAGAACCAGGTCCCACAGTGTCTGTGTAGAACTGACGGTGCATGGAAAAACAGTCGTTAGGAGAAGGTGGTCGCTAAACCCAGAGGTCGCTTACACCAGGTTTTACTGTAGAACTACATATAATTATCACAATCTTTCATACCTATCAGATTCTGTTCTTCATTTTATCTCTTCCTGTTAATGCCAAAGCTGAGGCAGCAGCAGCCACAGCAGCACCTATGGTCTCTTTGGCAGATACATTGTCGCACACAGTAGCCGCTACAGCAGAAGTCACAGCAGCTGCTACGGCAACAGTCACCAACACAAAGATGCAAACGGCAACAGCCATGGACACAGTCGCAGCTAGAGATTCTTCCACATCGGAAACATGCCAAGCGGCCGTAACAGGAAGCACAGGTATGTGAAGAACACTATCTAGCATTATGATTACCACCAGCAAACATCTCCATTGGGCTTTACCCATTTCCAATCCTTCTCGATCTTCGTCCTCACTTTGTCGAGTTTTCCGCTCTTCCTCTTGACAATCGCTTTACTCCAGCTGTTGACCTTATCTTTAAAGTTAGTTCCATCCTATTTATTGTCGTCTGCAACACCAACTTGTGAAATGCTGAAAGCTAGAGGAGTGCAATCTCCATGTTCTAGTTTAGGGCTATCTACAAACTGCCACTAACTGATTGCACTACAAAGATTGGGAGCACTGCACGGAAAAGACATGTTGGAGATGGTGATCTGAAAGTTGCATATGCACACGATGGCATGCAATGCTATCCTGACATAGCTTCAAAATAACTGCTTGGTCAGCTTCACTGCAAAGGGAATAACAACCTCATTTTAAGAATAGAGTCTACAACCATTGGGTTAATCTTTTTTGCAGAACCAAACCCGAAACTTTACCCTGCCATTCTCTAACCTGTAGAACTGTCGGCGCATGGAATAACAGTCACTAGGAGCAGTATGTCGCTAAACCCAGAGGTCGCTTACACCAGGTTTTACTATATTACTACTTATCACTCTTCTATATCGACCTCCACTAATTCTCGTGATCCTTGACTGGTCCTATATTACCCATATCGCCGTAATATCGACCGCTTGTATCGACCGCTTATATCGACCACTTAGGCATTGTAATCTTTCGACTTTGGAGGGACTTAGAAATTTTCTCTCCACTTCAAAAAGAAAATTTGAAAGAAAGAAGACAAAGGAAGAGAACAAGCAGGATTTGAACCCACAACAGTATGAATCTCAAGCAACCCCTTATACCACCCAGCCACTTTGCTGCAGATGCTCAACCCTGTTGTTCTTACAATCTTGTACCCAAAATAGGCAAAATCCTATGTACACTATAGTACAAATACTATACTAAAAAGGTTAAAATAGCTCCTAAAGGTTCAAATTCTGGGGTTATGGCGAAGGAATCGTGATAAATAGGATATTGACCTCGACTTCGGTCTATATGGGAAATATAGGCCGAGTAAAAGACCTCGGCAGACCTCGGTCTTTTACTCGGCCTATATTTCCCATATAGACCTTGTCTTGGTCAATATCCTATACATATATCACAATCTTTCATACCTATCAGATTCTGTGCTTCACTTTATCTCTTCCTGTTAATGCCAAAGCTGAGCCAGGAGCAGCCACAGCAGCACCTATGGTCTCTGTGGCAGATACAGTGTCGTCCACAGTAGCCGCTAAGGCAGAAGTCACAGCAGCCGCTACAGGAACAGTTACAGACACAATGATGCAAATGGCAACACCCATGGACACAGTCGCCGCTAGAGAGTCCTCCACATCAGAAACCTGCCAAGCGGCCGTAACAGGAAGCACAGGTATGTGAAGAACCATTTCTAGCTTTATGATTATCACCAGGAAACATTTCTACTGGGCTTCTCCCTTTTACAATCCATCGGTTCCAATGGTTGAGTGACTACCGCAACACCAACTTGTGAAATGCTGAAAGCTAGAAGAGTGCAATCTCCATGTTCTGGTTTGGTGCCATCTACAAACTGTCAGTTACTGATTGCACTACAAAGATTACAAGCACTACGATGAAAGGACATGTTAGAGACAGTGGTCTGAAAGTTTCATACACACTATTGCATGAATGCTATCCTGATATAGCTTCAAAATATCTGCATCATCAGCTTCTATGCAAGGGGCGAGACAGGGCACCTTCCCTTTCTATGGTATTTCTAACATAGAACCTTCCAAGTGGAAAGGATGTTAGAGTGTGCATCCGAGACGTGCTAGAGCTCATTGACAGTTTCGTGTTGAACATCAGTACCTTTTAGTCCGTGTCGTGCAATGTTATCGCATGAGCTGATTGTAAAGTAACTGGTGGTGTTAGTGGACATTACCGCATAACTTGTAGTTCCTTGCTCCTCATTTTATTAAAATGTATAGGTTGAGTTTACGTGAAGTGTGTGGGTTAGAGTGCAGTGTGAGGGTTATATTGAGGGCTGCGTCCGTCAGCCTGTAGCTGTGTGGATTTGCAGGAAGTATTAATTTCGAAGTCTTTTAAAGAAAATGTTGAACAGTCACTACCTGGATGATGGCTACACCATAGCTTAGTGGTAGAGCTTCGCTGACCATAAGCAAGGTCCCTGGTTCAAGTCCTGGTGGCGACAGTCAACTTTTCTTTAGAATTTCCCTGTTTGCATCTTTCGCTCAAACTAATCAAAACTAAATTTGTCGGTATTTCTTCTTCATTATGTCTCAGGACAGACGGAAGCAGTGTTTGATTCGTCCGACCATAGCACAGCGGCTCAAGCTTTACGCATGACATGGCGAATACGCATCGCTCCCTCAGCAGGCAACAGCCGCTGGCGGCCAAAAATTTGGTCCAGATATGGCCGGACCAACCAGATCGGTTCCGCAACCCCTGTTTCTCTTCTTGTTTTAACTGGAGCAGAGGCAGAAGCTGTCACAGCAGCACTTACAGTCCCTGTGGCAGATACTGTGTCACACGCAGCAGCCGCTACGACCACACTCCCAGACAGCATGTCGCCCACTGTAGCCGCTACGGCAGAAGTCACAGCAGCCGCTACAGCAACAGTCGCAGACACAATGACACAAATGGCAACAGCCATGGGCACAGTCATAGCTAGAGAGTCATCCACATCAGAAACATGCCAAGCGGCCGTAACAGGAAGCACAGGTATGTGGAGAATCATTTCTAGCATGTGATACTACAGTCACTCAAACCATTTACCTTGGATTTACCCTTTTAACGTCCATCTCGACCTTTTTTGCTTTTACCTCCACTTCCATTTTCCTCCAGCTGTTGATCTTATCTTTCATATCGCCTGAACTATCCACCGCTCCACGATGCACTCTTCGCCCACATGCAGACCACCAAAGTGAGGAAGTTTGTTCCGTATCCTTGGGGCAGCTGTTTCCCACGTGGAAAGCTCGTCAGTGGAGGTAGAAACGAATGGATAGCATATATATAAATAGTTAAAGAATGAGCATATTAGTATGGAGACGTGGAGAGGTGGATAGTTCAAATTAGTTTCATATAGCCGCGTTTTTTCTTTCATTCGCACACTATGGCAAGAAACGTTATCCTGACATGTCCTGCAAAATAACTACATGGCCAGCTAATATGCAAAGGGGTAACAACCTCATTTAACCCTTTGTGTACGGACTGTACAACTTTCGATCCCCTGGAATCGAAACTTTTCAAAATTTCAATCGATCGTAACTCAGTCGTTTCTGGGTTATTTTCAAAAACTACAATATGTAGGTCGAAGAGAAAACTCCAAGCTGTCCATTGAAGCAATCACTGAAGCACTCCGATGTGCGGGTCTGGGAATGTGTGTGTGTGCATGTGTGTGTGTGTGTGTGTACGCACGTGAGTGCGTGAGTGTGTGCGTGTGTGTGTGTGTGTGTGTGTGCGTGAGTGTGTGTGTGTGTGTGTCCATTGTTCTTATCACCTGACGATGGCCAAGTGCCGAAACGTTGTAAAATAACGGAACTTGTTCGGATGTGCAGCGCTATGGGAATGGGTGTGTCCACTCAAATTCCTTTCCATGTATTATCGGTGTTGTGTAATTCCATTTTTATCTGTTTCTTGACATGTAGTTGTGTTTAGTTGTGTGTTCATGTGTCATCTGTGCCTTCTGTATTTTGCTGCTTTCGCAACAGACAATCCGTTTCACCTGGTTAGGTTTGTGTGTGACATTCAACCATGGTTGAACGAAGTTGACGCAGATCGACTGCGACAGATGGTGATCAAGAAACATCTCATAACTGACAGCGCATCAATAGAGAGACTAAAGAGAATTCGGTCCCGGGATGGACAATCTGCTCATAATGAGGAGCTCATCCAGTTGCTCAGAGCTGGTGGCCTAAAGACTTATCGTGATCTCGGTGTTGTCATTGAGGAACTTGGGTATGTGGACAGGAGCAAGGACATGCTCTCCATTTTGTCCCACACAGGTATGTTGCTGCTATACTTTTACTGCAATGTGTTCAACTTTGGTGGTGTTTAATGGACGTACATATTTTAGTTTTTGGTAATAACCCAGTAATGACTGAGTTCCGATCGATTGAAATTTTGAAAAGTTTCGATTCCAGGGGATCGAAAGTTGTACAGTCCGTACACAAAGGGTTAAGAAGAGAGTTTACAGCCACAGGGCTAACCTTTTGGGCACAACCAAGCCCTGAATTGCTTCCTGCTATTTTCTAGCCTGTAATTTTAACATCATAAGGCGAGACCAAAATAAAATCGAGAATCCCGGGCAGGACCCATGTGAAATTGGTGCGGGCGGGCGAATTTTAATTTTTGTTTTTTCCGATGTATGTACATGACTATGTGTGCATGCCATGTTGAACTTTTTGACGGCATTTCCGGTGATTTTCATTCAATTTCATTTACAGACAACAGGTAAGCGGGTCACCCGATCAATTTTTCTATATTTTGGCCAACGATGGCCCTGATCTGTACATCAGGGAATCGACCTAGTCGTACAAGCTCGGGTTTGTGTGACTCCATGTCACAGATCTACTCACACGATCAGTACTGTACATGCATGAACTTTTTTTTAATAAAAAAAATCGGCTTTGGCTTGATTTTGGTGCGGGAGGGTCCGGGAATCTCTATATTTTTTGGTCTCACCTAACTACATTTGTCACAATCTTTCATACCTATCTGATTCTGTTCTTCACTTTAGCTCTTCCTATTTATGCCAAAGCTGAGGCAGCAGCAGCCACAGCAGCACCTGCAGTCTCTATGGCAGATACAGTGACGTCCACAGTAGCCGCTGTGGCAGATACTGTGACCCATGCAGCAGCCGCTACGACCACACTCACAGATAACGTGGCGCACACAGTACCCGCAATGGCAGAAGTCACAGCAGCCGCTACAGCAACAGTCGCAGACACAATGATGCAAATGGCAACAGCCATGGGCACAGTCGCAGCTAGAGAGTCATCCACGTCAGAAACATGCCAAGCGGCCGTAACAGGAAGCACAGGTATGTGAAGAACCATTTCTAGCATTTGACTACCACACCCAACCCCTTCACCTTGGCTTTACCCTTTCAACGTCCATCTCGACCTTCCTCCCCACTTTGTCCAGTTTTCCGTTTTTTCTCTCAACAATAGCTTTGCTTCAGCAGTTGATTTGATTTAACCTTTAATGAGTTCCATAGTTTAATTGTCACCTGCAACACCAACTTTTGAAATGCTGAAAGCTGGAGAAGTACAATCTTCATGTTCTACTTCAGGGCCATCTACAAACTGTCAGTTACTGATTGGATTACCAAGATTACAAACACTACAAGGAAAGGACATGTTAGAGACGGTGGTCTGAAAATTTCATACGCATATCCTGACATGTTCTTCAAAATAACTGCATGGTCAGCTTATACGCAAAGGGATTAAAAAACCTCATTTAAGAATTGAGTTTACAGCCACAGGGCTAACCTTTTGGGCACAACCAAGCCCTGAATTGTTCCCTGCCATTCTCTAACCTGTAATTTTAATATTATAACTACATATGTCACAATCTTTCATACCTATCTGATTCTGTTCTTCACTTTATCCCTTCCTGTTAATACCAAAGCTGAGGCAGCAGCAGCCACAGCAACACCTACGGTCTCTGTGGCAGAAACAGCGTCGCCCACAGTAGCCGCTACGGCAGATGTCACAGCAGCGACTACAGCAACAGTCGCAGACACAATGATGCAAACGGCAACAGCCATGGACACAGTCGCAACTAGAGAGTCATCCACATCAGAAACATGCCAAGCGGCCGTAACAGGAAGCACAGGTATGTGAAGAATCATTTCTAGCATTATGATTACCACAAGCAAACAATTCAGCTCCGCTGTACCCTTTTACAATCCATCGGTTCCAACGGTGGATTGTCTGCCGCAACACCAACTTTTGAAATTCTGAAAGCTAGAAGAGTGCAATCTCCATGTCCTGGTTTGGGGCCATCTACAAACTGTCAGTTACTGATTGAACTACAAAGATTACAAACTTTACAATAAAAGGACATGTTACAAACAGTGGTCTGAAACTTCCATACACACGCTGTGGCATTAACGCGATCCTGACATAGCTTCATAATAACTACTTCATCAGCTTCTACGCAAGGGGACACATAGGGCACCTTCCCTTTCGATGTTATTTCTAACTTAGAACCTTCCAAGCTGGAAGGATGTTAGAGTGTGCATCCGAGACGTGCTAGAGCTCATTGACAGTTTCGTGTTGAACATCAGTACCTTTTAGTCCGTGGCGGGCAATGTTATCGCATGAGCTGATTGTATAGTAACTGGTGGTGTTAGTGGTCATTACCGCATAACTTGTAGTTCCTTGCTCCTCATTTCTTCTTTTTTTTAATGTATAGGTTGAGTTTACGTGAAGTGTGTGGGTTAGCGTGAGGGTTAGAGTGAAGGGTTTGGGTTAGAGTGCAGTGTGAGGGGTACCTTGAGGGCTGCGTCCATCAGCCTGTGTGGATTTGCAGGAAATATTAGCTTCGAAGTCTGAAGAAAATGTTGAACAGTCACTACCTGGATGACGGCTACACCATAGCTTAGTGGTAGAGCTTCGCTGACCATAAGCAAGGTCCCTGGTTCAAGTCCTGGTGGCGACAGTCAACTTTTCTTTAGAATTTCCCTGTTTGTATCTTTCGCTCAAACTAATCAAAACTAAATATTTCGTTATTTTTTCCTCATTTTGTCTCAGGACGGGCAGAAGCAGTTTTTGATTCGTCCGACCATAGCACAGCGGCTCATGCTTTACGCATGACATGGCGAGTACGGATCGCTCCCTCAGCAGGCAACAGGCGCTGGCGGCCAAAGATTGGGTCCAGATATGGCCGTACCAACCAGATCAGTTTCGCAACCCCTGTTTCTCTTCTTGTTTTAACTGGAGCAGAGGCAGAAGCTGTCACAGCAGCACTTACAGTCCCTGTGGCAGATACTGTGTCACACGCAGCAGCCGCTACGACCACACTCGCAGACAACGTGGCGCCCACTGTAGCCGCTACGGCAGAGGTCACAGCAGCCGCTACAGCAACAGTCGCAGACACAATGATGCAAACGGCAACAGCCATGGGCACAGTCGCAACTAGAGAGTCATCCACATCAGAAACATGCCAAGCGGCCGTAACAGGAAGCACAGGTATGTGAAGAATCATTTCTAGCATGTCATCACTACAGTCACCCAAACCATTGACCTGGGATTTCCCCTTTTAACGTCCATCTCGACCTTTTTTGCTTTTACCTCCACTTCCATTTTCCTCCAGCTGTTGATCTTATCTTTTATATCGCTTGAATTATCCACCGCTCCACAATGCACTCTTCGCCCACATCCAGACCACCAAAGTGAGGAAGTTTGTTCTTGGATAGATGTTCCGTATCCTTGGGGGCAGCTGTTTCCCACGTTGAGAGCTCCTCATTGGAGGTAGATATCGAATGAATAGCATATAAAGGAATGAGCATATCAATAGGGAGACGTGGAGAGGTGGATAGTTATAATTATATCCAAATGGCCGAGTTTCTTCTCCATTTATTAATTGACATCTACAACAGCAACTTGTGATATGCTGTAAGCTTGAGGAGTGCAAACTCCATGTTCTGGTTTAGGGCCATTTACAAACTGAGATAGTTTAGAAAATAACTGCATGGTCACCTTCTATGCACGTACATCGTCATGACACTCTCCAGATGGTCCCTGGGCTACTCCAATCACTGAAAGGAAAAAAAGGAGATAATCATTGGAATCATTTCGGGTAAGGCCCATCTTCCTGAGTGTTGTGAAGATGTATGGATAGAGCGGATGGCTACACTGGAGTCTTCACATTCTGAGAAATGTGTTTCAAAACGGTAGCTTATATGGAAAGGGAATAACAATCTGACTACATTATCCTGATGATGTACCAGGCCTGAAAATTTGGTGTAATGAAAATATTAATTTTAATTTTAATCGCAGTTTTTGGAGTTTGGAGTTGAGAAGTGAAGTTTCCTAAAAGGAATAACAACCTCATTCAAGTATGGAGCCTACAACCCTGGGGCTACCCTGCTGGGCCCAACTAAGCCTTGAATTGTTACCTGCCATGCACTTTTATAACTGTATATGTAAGTATAGCATTTTTTTTATCTAAAAATGTTTTAAATCTTTTTTCGATACCTATCAGAATCTTCTTCTTGTTTATTTTTTCTCAGGACCCGCGGAGGCAGTTGTCGATTTGCCCGGCCATACCACAGCCTTCCATGCTTTGTGCGTGGTATGGAGAGGACGCCTGACCACCTCAGCTGCCAACACTCGTTGGTGGTCAAAGAGTTGGTCCGGTGATGCCCTGGCTAAACGCATCGGTTCCGCCGCACCTGTAACTCTTCTGTTTTTAACCAATGCCGAAACAGCAGCAGCAGTCACAGCAGCACATGCAGACTACGAGGTAGATGAAGTTGCACCCACAGCAGCCTCTACAGCAACAGTCGCAGACACAATGATGCAAGCGGCAACAGCCATGGACACAGCCACAGCTAGAGAGTCATCCACATCAGAAACATGCCAAGTGGCCGTAACAGGAATCACAGGTATGTGAATAATCATTTCTAGCATGTGATTAATGCAGTCACCCAAACCAATCACCTATGCCTACTCTTTTCCTTTGCTTTTCCCATCCGCATCCACTTTTCACCAATCATTGACCTTATCTTTTAACACGATCTGTACACCGGTTGGTGTGACGCAACATGCAGCACATCCATCCAACAACTGTACCCAACCGCTCAACGGAGAACTTTAAAATCACATCCTTCCAACAACTGTTCCCAACCGCTCAACAGCGAACTTTAAAATCACATCGTTCCAACAACTGTACCCAACCGCTCAACAGAGAACTTTAAAATCACATCCTTCCAACAACTGTACCCAACCGCTCAACGGAGAACTTTAAAATCAGACATGTAAAAATCAACATATCTATGTATTAAAATAAGCGATGAGGCGACAATAGTTTTAGGACTGCCATAAGCGGAACGAGCTGAACTGTCTTTTCACAAAGGCTTTATTGTGTTCAAAAACGAGTGGATACGAAGGTGGTGAAGAACAGAGAAGGAGAAACAAATGTAGTATGGAAGAAATGATGAAAAAAGGAATCACTTGGAAAATGGAACAAGTTTTCAGAGCACACTCCTTTGTAGTTAACAGTTATATATTACATACATGTACCTACACAGGAACATCAGTGGTCAAGTAGGGATGTCTCACACTTCTTAATTCTGAATTTCAACTCTTTGCTTTCTCCTTTAGCCCTGCTTCTAAGGTGTTTATATGCGCGCACATAATTATGCTCTCATGTCATTGGGCTTGCTTCCTGTTTCATTCTTTGAATTAAAAAAAGAAGGAAACGGCAACAAGAACAACGACGACGACGATGACAACAACAACAACAACAACAAGTGCATACACACCACGAACAGGTCTGGTTGAATACCTACACAAATTCATGTAGTTCTGGTTGAGTACCTATACAAATGGATGTAGGTCTGGTTGAGTACCTACACAAATGGATGTAGGTCTGGTTGAGTACCTACACAAATGGATGTAGGTCTGGTTGAGTACCTACACAAATGTATGTAGGACTGGTTGAGTACCTACACAAATGGATGTAGGTCTGGTTGAGTACCTACACAAATGGATGTAGGACTGGTTGAGTACCTACACAAATGGATGTAGGTCTGGTTGAGTACCTACACAAATGGATGTAGCTCTTGTTGAGTACCGTATTTTTCCGGTGATAAGTCGACCTTTTATGACTGAAAATAGCAGGAGAAAAGGTGGGGGTCGACTTACAACCGGGATTCGACTTATAACCGGGAATTATCGGTATCTTCCGAAAATGACCTGCAATGAATACACGAGTGCACCATGTGTATGCATTTTTGCCAAGTTTATTTGCCTTTTTCAAGGATTGGGATGTTTCAGAATCCAATGAGGAGTGTTTATGTGATTTGTTCATGTGTTAGTAGCAGGGAGCGGTTAGCAGTGCTTCGTTGGGCAAAAACTTAAAAAACATAATTAAGACTTCCGGATACGGGGGGTTGACCTATAACCGGGGTCGACTTATAACCGGTTAAATACGGTACTTACACAAATGGATGTAGGACTGCCCGACCTTTGGAGAAACTTGGGAATCAATAAATTTTGCAAATCGATGTCTTGTTGTTGTTCCTCTTTTTAATGTTTGTGTTCGACTATAGACAATCCGTTTGACACTGGAACTTTCACTTGTCGCATACTTCCAAAGTTATGCGAAATACCCTGTGCAATGTTTCGCAGGAGTGTTCAGAAGCAGGGTCTACTGCACAGTATGGCAGAAATCAATGAATTGATGCGCACAGAAAAGTACGAGCCAGTAGAAAACCATAACGTCAAGATCATCGGATACATCCATCCTGGAGGAATGGATTCCTACAAAAAGCTCTGTGCAGCCATCAAAGGCCTGAAGTATGAAGTTTTGTACACAGAGATGATCGTACTGCTTCCTGCTGACCGTCAGCCTAGAGATGGTAAGTGTGAAATTATGTGCAGCTGTTTTGTGCGTGCCTGTGTGTGGGGGGGGGGGGGGGGGAGAGAGAGAGAGAGCATGTGTGTGTGTGCGCGTGTGTGTGTATGTGTGTGTGTGTGTGTATGCTTGTGTGTATGCGTGTGTGTGGTAGGGTGTCTCGGTAAGGGTGTCCGTCTGTGTGTCCAGGCCTTCTCACTGTCACAGTATGGACTGGCATGGCCACCTTGCCATGATGGAGGATAAACAAACCCCCTCCATCCAGCTATTGTGCTGGTCAGTTCTATCTACACTTCCTGCATGTGCTCCCCTGAAACTTTGACATAAAGGGATCAGAGCGGACATCCATCATCTGAATATCATAGTAATATTAGTCTAAAGCTTGATTCATACTTCATTTCGCGTACGGGAAACGCGTCGCGTTGCGAAAAATTTGATCTGGACTCAACTATTTCGCGACGGTAAAGCCATCGCGCGACGGTCGCGCGATAACTTTCCCGTACGCGAAATGAAGTATGAATCGGCCATAACATTGCCCAACAGTGAGGAGAGTGGTGCCACACATTTTCCGCTGCGCAACCACCACATTCACAGTCCACCACAGTCAGAGTCCGCCACACTCACACTCACACTCACAGTCTAGCACACTCGCCACACTCCACCACAGTCCACCATAGTCCACCATAGTCCACCATAGTCCACCATAGTCCACCATAGTCCACCACAGTCCACCATAGTCCACCACAGTCCACCACAGTCCACCATAGTCCACCACAGTCCACCACAGTCCACCATAGTCCACCACAGTCCACCACAGTCCACCACAGTCCACCACAGTCCACCATAGTCCACCACAGTCCACCATAGTCCACCATAGTCCACCACAGTCCACCACAGTCCACCACAGTCCACCATAGTCCACCATAGTCCACCATAGTCCACCATAGTCCACCATAGTCCACCACAGTCCACCATAGTCCACCATAGTCCACCACAGTCCACCACAGTCCACCACAGTCCACCATAGTCCACCAAAGTCCACCACAGTCCACCACAGTCCACCACAGTCCACCATAGTCCACCATAGTCCACCACAGTCCACCACAGTCCACCACAGTCCACCATAGTCCACCATAGTCGACCACAGTCCACCACAGTCCACCACAGTCCACCATAGTCCACCATAGTCCACCACAGTCCACCACAGTCCACCATAGTCCACCATAGTCCACCATAGTCCACCATAGTCCACCATAGTCCACCACAGTCCACCATAGTCCACCATAGTCCACCATAGTCCACCATAGTCCACCATAGTCCACCATAGTCCACCATAGCTCACCATAGTCCACCATAGTCCACCATAGTCCACCATAGTCCACCATAGTCCACCATAGCTCACCATAGTCCACCATAGTCCACCATAGTCCACCATAGCTCACCATAGTCCACCATAGTCCACCATAGTCCACCATAGTCCACCATAGCTCACCATAGTCCACCATAGTCCACCATAGTCCACCATAGTCCACCATAGCTCACCATAGTCCACCATAGCTCACCATATGCATAGTCCACCATAGTCCACCACAGTCCGCCACAGTCCACCCTAGCCCACCGCAGTCCGGCACAGTTGACCTCCCTCCCTCTCAGTGCCTAAATATGCATGCTCATTTATATTTTTGTGATGCTTGCATTTACCGTAAAGTACCGTTGATCCGCCCCCTCTCTAATTCCCGCCCCCTGTCGATTTTCTCCTTGTGAAACGACTTTGGCGTATACAACGAAATACGATGTTGAACCGACGCATGCACTGCTGTACACAATACTTGCCAATCCAGGATCAAAATGTGCACAATCCAGCACATTGAGTGTGATCCTCTACGTTGTTGTACATCGTACTGCACTTGACAGCCTTGATCTAATTCCCGCCCCCTGCCGAAAACCCAGCTGGGAAGCGACATGGCGTGGGGGCGGATCAACGGTACGTTACGGTAATTACTATTAAACATACATGTTTTCTCAGACATTCTTTTGCCATTTCTCGGCTGCGTGTGTGTGCTTGCGCACATGTGTACTGGTGTGCATTTGTGGGTGTACGTATGTGGGCGTATGTGTGTGCGGGTGTACGCGGGTATGTGCATGTGTTTGTGTGTGATTATTGGTGCCCTTGTCTGTGTGTGCATATCTGCTGTATTATTGTGCAGATTGACCCACCCTGGCTGCTCACAGAGCTATGAGTTTATGATGAGGATGATAATCATCGTCAGTGACAGCAGCATCACCAGTACCAGCCACAGGAGCAGCAGCAGCAACAGCAGCAGCAGAAGTAGCAGCAGCACAAGCATACTCATGACCTAATTCTCAGGTACACCACTTTGTGTGTTTCCTGCTCTGGCGCAACTATGTACACACACTGTACAACTATGTACACACACTGTACAACTATCTGCTGAGCTAGTGGTTGCGGAAGCAGGTGTTCTTGCCATTTAATAGCTCTATTGCTACCCGTTGTTATTTTTTCTTCCTGCCATTTATTTCCTTTCCTCCTATGCTCCTTACATATTCGCCTTTATGTTATTGGGCCACTACAGGTTTGATTGTACAACTATGTACACACACTGAACAAGGCAGAGGAGATTTGTTTTTTCGGTTTGGTTTTCGATACGAGAAATAATATTCGCTCATTTGTTCAGCTGCATAATATTTCTGCATAATATTTCTGCATTGTTTTATTTTGTCTGATCTCAGTAGTTGTTGCAGTTCTGCTAGGTTTTACCGGGTGTTAGCGGCCGTCGTGGACGGACACGATGATTTACTTTTTTCACTTTTTTCATCCTAGTCAACCTGGGACAACTTCAGTAGACCATATTTGTAAGTGGATTGATCAAGATCTGCCTTCACTGTTTCGTGCATTCTAAATTCTCTCGGCTGGAGATCTGTTTTTTCTGTCTCTTTGGCCTTCAAACTACATTAACGGCTACGTAATGGTGTTTAAATTGGCGTGTGAGCAACACTGGCTCACACTCAAAACTATTTTTACTTCACCATAAGCACAGGCAAAATCTGCCTTCTCGCTGTGTTGATGACGGTAGCACAACACAGAAGTGTCACTGCTGCCTTTTGTGGAGCACTTTTCAGAGTGTGTTTCTTTGTGTTATTTCTTGCTGTTTCCTGCTTCCTCTTCTGTCCTTTTTGCTAGCCACTGCCATAAGCCATCAGCTGATTATCTTTTTTTTCCTTCTCTGCTACATTAGATTTGTAGACCGTTAATTTTATGTTTCAAACTCCATGTTGTTGTCTCTCCTCCTCCCCCCCCCCCCCCACACACACACCACACACACTCACACCCATCATTCCCATCCCGTACCCAACCCCACGCATACACATTACACCACACCTCTACATTATCGTGCTATTGTTTTCATTGAGTAGTCTTGGTCATGCTAATTACAATAGAAATCCCCTCGTCCTCTCCCACATCTCTATTTCACCTCTCTTTACAAGTCCTGTTCCCTCTAGTATTAAACTATTATTCTCAGGAGAGAGTAGTGTTTGGTTATCATATTTTTCGATCTTTTTTTATTTTCCCTCTAACGAAAATGGCTGTGAGTGACGATAGGGTAATTTTAAATGTTTTGCGAGAGTTGGCAGTCTCGGAGGGCCGGCTGTCAGTGATTTGGAGATGATGTTGGACAGGACACTACCCATGTATTCTCCTGGCATGTTTTTTTGTTTTGTCACAGGTGTTATATTGTTTTGGTTTTTACATTGATTTTGTATGTGGAAACAAGGGGATTACGGATTTTTGACTCTTTCCTCTACCAAATGCCACTGTTTACACATGTATTTGTTTTCATTTTTTGGTGTTGTGTTCTAGTCATTCATCATGCCACCGTGAATTGTATTCTGTTTGCCCGTAAATGAGGCTTGTGTTTTATTGATTTTTTGCTTGGCTTGCCTTCACTTCAATCACGATGATCCACTGATGATTGTGACAAGAAAATCGATTCTGGGAGAGGTTTTAAAAACATTCCAACAACAAATTCTTGCTGTTCATGAAGTGAGCTTGCATGCTTCTTGGCCCAAGGGTATCCTGGATTTGAGTGCGAGTTTACGATGAATTGCCTTCGAGTCCCATTTCAGGTTTTCACCTCTCGATCTGTTTCCTTTGTTCCAGCTGTTCAGGCTTCCTGCTTGCTGGATCCATGCACCTGCGAGGTACACTAGCTGCATGTTTCATGATTTCTAGTGTTGGCCAAATTTGAAGGACAATTACCGGGATAGCAGGTGGTTTCAGGTTAAGCGAAAGTGTGAACTAATAATTATTATTACTTCTTTTTGAGTTTGGCACTAGCCACAGACAGGAATTTTCTACACACGAAGCTTCGAACTTGAACCCTTAGGCTTAGCACACCCGCGAACATCCTCTCATGCACTGTGGCGGGAGACAGTGGACTCAGTGGAGTGGAGTGGAGTGCGAGTCGCAATAACTGTCACAGTCATTCAAAGCAAGGAGTAGTAAAATACCACGGTATTGTACTACTCCCTGCTTCAAAGTGTCACTGTGTCAGTTAGTGTCAGTGCGACGTGCTACATTTTCCACAGCTCAAGTTTTTTTATTTGCATCATCTGACGAATCTTGTTTTCCCAAAAGTTCTTTATTGTTCTCATCCATTCAACAAGGGATTATTGTGGCTACAAGTCATGAAGATTCAGTTCATGATGTTATCTTGTGCGTGCTTATGGAGAAATTCGCGGCAATATGCCCTGTTACACTCCGTGGCAAAAGCAGCTATTTGAAGAGTCCCTACATGCAGCAGTGTATGCTAGGATACTAGTAACCAGTCACCTGTATGCGAGTGACGTGACGTGTGACAGTGATACTACTTGTCACTGAGGAAGGAAGTACAATGTAGGTGGTAGCCAGTCAAACTCAGATGATGATGATATTTTATTATGCCGTGGACCGCACCATGGCGGACATGGCAAGTACATGATTGTAGTTACGAACATTCGCCTGCACTGATGGGAAGTAGAGCTGCGAACATTCGCCTGCACTGATGTGAAGTAGAGCGTGCATGAGACGGATTACCGCCGAGTGAAGTCTGGTTTCTAGCAGCTGAGATGGTGTTCATTCTTCAGAAATTTGAGCTCAAATCACACGGTATAGGTGAGTGTGCTCGTGGTAGCGAAATTATTTCAGCAAATAAATTAATTTTTATTTTTGTCCTACTTCAAGTATTTTTGTCACTTGCGTGCATGGTGTGAACGTGAACGCGCAAGTAGTGAAGTAAAACGTATCAATGTCTTTTTTTTTAAGCAATATAATTTTAGTAAGTTAACGGTGATAATAAAAAAGTATCTTCAAGGAAAGTCCTATCCCCCCCCAAGACTTGTACATGTTTCACAAAACTTGACGTAAGGTTGTGATGTTAGTAGAGAGGTTGCGCACAACGAAAATTCGTTAGATTTTGACCGTCCGGGTTCGTGTCACGAAAGTTGCACCGAAGATCCGTCCAAACGCGACCAAAACAGAGCAGATCTACGAGATATTTTTCGTTACCTGGAGTACTATTGTAGTATCCCTGCCCGACCAATACGGAAGCAGTACGGAACTAATACGGAGCTTGCCTGATGTATATTTAGTGTATCTCCGTATGTAAGCGTACGTCGTCTGCTGCATAAAAGCGGCTGCGCATTTCTGTTTTGATGAAGATTAGATTAGATTAGATTAGATTAGATAGCAATGAAAGCTAACTCGAGGAAGAAAGAGATTTTGATAATAACGAGCTATTCAACCTCCAGGTGTGCACCGGAGAGAAAGTCAGTTATTTTGCCGCTTCTTCTTTCACTAGCAATTATATCTCAGGTGTGTACCTGAAAGAAGTAGAATAAAAGTAATTCTTGTTGATTTCACCGCGCCTACCACTCGGCTACCCATTACATTGGTGGCAGCGGTGTAGTTTCAAATAAAACAACGTGATTCGACCCCAGACTCCGATGGCTCAACCCGCTACAGCTCCCTGCGACGAATCAAGATGAGAATCATGTTTCTTGCCGTCCTGGGCTTGGCCCTACTTATTAGCGTGCAGCACAGTCAGGGTGCTAGCGTGGATCACCCTTCCCTCCGCATGGCATCCACTGGAGACTCCGATGGCGATTCCAAGCGACCCGCTACCTATGTTAACTACTGGTGGCGATAGCGAAGCTGATGAGGACGACAACAGGCAGGCTGCTGCCCAAGACAAGGAGGGTATTTCACAAGACCAGCAGCGTTTGATTTTCGCCGGCACGCAGTCGGAAGCAGGAGCCCACTCTTCACTTGGTACTTCGTCTCCGTGGTTGGATGCAGATTTTCGTCCACACTCTTCCTGGCTAGACCATCACTCTTTACGTCGCGCAAAGCGATGCTATCGACAATGTGAAGACCACGATTCAAGGCAAGGAGGGAGGTTATTTGTCTGACGCTGAGGTAGCCGCTCTGAGTGACCGGCTCCACCAAGATGAAGATAAAACCTGGCTTGCCCTCCACCGTAGCTCCAGCCGCCGCCGTGGTTACTAACGCTGATTCCAGGTATGGCATTTTCTTTCCTGTCTTCCTTCAGTCTCCCTGTTCTCTTCAGTCTTCCTTTATGCGAGTGTGTGAATCCAGTTTAGTTTGGTAGGCGTCTGATCATGGTGAGCCACGGCTTACCCAGCTAACGTGGGACAATGTGTGTGACAACGCCCCTTATAGTTATAATGTATTCAGTTCGGTTTTTGAACTGCGATGTTCCTGGCGGGTTGTGCCAGCGTTGTGCAGCAAGAGTGCTGTGGATTTTCAGGTCCTATTTGGAGGACAGTTCTTTCCCCTTTTGACCCCGTGAGATCGTGTGAACCTGGTGTGCTTCTACTTTATGATTTGTTATCAGTTCATTTCTTCTGTCTACTCTAAACGTTATCATTTCCGATATAATTTGCCATCTTCCGGTTGACGCTGTGTTCGTAACTCTTCACTAATTTTTTGAAAACCACAAGGGCGTGATATTCTGTAGGAAGGGAGGGTGTAGTATCCCTGCCCGACCAATACGGAAGCAGTACGGAACTAATACGGAGCTTGCCTGATGTATATTTAGTGTATCTCCGTATGTAAGCGTACGTCGTCTGCTGCATAAAAGCGGCTGCGCATTTCTGTTTTGATGAAGATTAGATTAGATTAGATTAGATTAGATAGCAATGAAAGCTAACTCGAGGAAGAATGAGATTTTGATAATAACGAGCTATTCAACCTCCAGGTGTGCACCGGAGAGAAAGTCAGTTATTTTGCCGCTTCTTCTTTCACTAACAATTATATCTCAGGTGTGTACCTGAAAGAAGTAGAATAAAAGTAATTCTTGTTGATTTCACCGCGCCTACCACTCGACTACCCATTACACTATAATACTGATATTTTACAGCTCCCTGTTTTGACTCTTCGCGCCTGCGCGGCCGCCGCGTCGACCCACTACGAAAACGTTCACGCATTGTGCGCAACTTCACGGTTACGAATATTCGTTAGCGTTTTTCGTTAATAATATTCGTTGCCGCGCTACAAATTTTCGTTGTGCACAAACTCTCTATTTACATGTTTACTTGTAGCTTGTGAATACATGTACATGTACATGTCTGTATATGTATATCATATTACCTGAAGCCGATGTGAATATAGGCGAATATTCACTAGTATACAAACTAGTGAATATTTGTCCATACTCACGAGGCTGAAGGTAATATTATACTTATACTTCTCCATATTCACCCTTTCGTCCCTTGTACACAGAACTAACGTAAGTCGTTGTTGCTTCAGTATCGTAAACCGACTGGCGTGTTCTTGCATGAATCGGAGAGCGGCGTGTTCAGAATCTTGTTCAATCGATCGTGTACACGTACTGGTGCATGTGGCATGGGAGGTGCATGTGGCATGGATAACACGCTCGCGCCAATAACCATGGAGAACACACTCGTGCTTAACGGGAGCCAAATCATCGTTCGTTTCGATGCGAAGATTTGACCAATCCGCGATCATCTCGCCAATTCGGAAGTCGGTTTTTAAACAGCGAGCCAAGCGATTCTACCCTCACTTCTTTTCTTTTCAGGCAGCGCTTCGGAGCTGTTGTGTGCCCCTGGAAAATTCTACGCTAACGTCCGTGAACAGGGCTGTTCTGAGTACAAACGAAATTCCTGGCTTGCCGCTTGATCCGCAATCATTGGGCCATTGACATGTTGAGCGTCCAAAACCTTGTTTGCTCGCTGGAACGCTCCGTCTGTGAAGATGCTCACTGTTGGTTGATGACTTGTCAGCACCTGGTCACATGCGGATCCAGCCGCAATGGCAAGCAAGGAATTTCGTTTGTACTCAGAAAAGTCCTGTTTACGGAAGTTAGCGTAGACATTTTTCTAGGGCACTCGACAGCTCCGGCGCGCTGACTGAAGAGGAATCAAGCGCAGCACCAAGTACTGCTCTCTTTACAGTAAGTATCGAAAAGTGGTGAATATAAGCGGTGAATATTCAGCAGTATTCACCGCTTATGTAGATGGCCAATTGTATGTGGGTGAATATGGAATGAGGTATATAATGTAGTATGTTAAAGGGGCACTCCGGCTTCATTTTCGACGCCGAGTTTTCGATGCCAAGACGAAGGTAGGTGAAAGAGAAGACCCCTCGAACAAGAACGAGTCTCCAGAAGCGATCGAGTCGAGCAGGAAGACGACTTTTGAATTTCACCGAGCGAGCGCTGATGACGTAATGAGGGATTAGCTTGCCAGTGGAAATGCACCTGCGCACATACATTTCACCCACTTTTGGGCCAATTTTCGATCGAAGAGGAGGTTGTTTACTATGTTCTCCCAACGTCGTGAGCGATTCCGTCTTCTATACCCTTCCAGGTACCCTGAGGGTTTTCCAGAGGAGAATTTATCGCCA